CCAATTTTTTTTGCTGCATTTGTTTAACTAAACTTAAAATAGTAGTAGTGAGGCGCAGCATAAAAGATGACATTGAAACTTCAAAAACCACAGAATCATTTGTTAATGGACACACCCTGTTACTTTAAACATCTTATTTTACAGGATACATTATTTTAAATTTTCATATACAAATAAAACATTAGTCTGTTCCACGCATGAGGAGTAAGCTGTGGTTCATAATGAAGAAAAATCTATAATTGTTTTTTTCCCCCAGTTAAAACTTTTTTTTTTATGGAGAAGGGACTAACATTCAACCAAGGTTTGAAATTTGTGACTACACGTTTGCTTCTGACTACTGTAAAGAAATCATTCAATAATTTGATCATTAAGATCTAACTATAAAACTTTGTCAAAAGTTGTGTATAAATGAGGGTTTGGCATTGACTCAAATGTTTGTGTTTTTAAAAGAGGAAAAGTGCTTTAAGCATTTAACTTGGCTTGTTTTAAGTCTGATTAGAGGATTTATTTAAGGCTAGTATCCTCCCATTTTGTGTGACATTTTCTTGAAACGTTGCGCACATTTATCAGAAAAGAAAACAAACATTGTTTCGGTGTACATCTCATCTTCAAAGGCCTTTCTAAAACACGTTTCGGTAGTTTAAGAAAAATTCAGAATTCCTACAGGATTTATGGATAGTATTAATGCTTCAAAAAAATAAATATTCGAGATGGATTTTAACCGAGATGTCATACAGGCTCAGCTGTTCTCAAGTGCATCTCTTCCTTAAATCCAATGTAAACTTTCATGTCTATCAGTCTCTATCATAAATCAGAGTGCCAGTGATATACGTGCTACACACAGAGGAAGCTAACCACATCAAAACTGGGACAAGATCAGGTGTTTTCAGTCCACCAAAAATGCATTTCATATGTGCTACAGAACCCCCAATTGTATCGCTGCGGACATAGTCCAAGAACCAACAGTGATTATCAGAGAATTACACAGCAAAAATTAAACTGAATGTAAAGATCTTAGGTCACGAGGAGAATCTAACAGATGCAGCAAGATGGACTTTCAGCACACTGAAAATTAAAAATACCCAGGGTTATGTAGTTCATTATGTAAGGACATAGGGAATATTTACCAATAAATAGTTATATTTCACATTGAGTTTTTATATTAAAGCTTAAAGTACAATTTAAAACTTATTCCTTAGACATTTTAAATGTACTTTCCTTAGATACTGTACATTTTAAGATTGTGTCATTTTGTGCATATCTGAGAACATCATAAATGCCAACTAATAAAATCAGAAACTGAAAATAGCCTGCTCACATCTAATGAGTCACCAAAGAAACATCAGGTTTTAAATCACATACCATTTATAGCCATGTTCACATTAACTATAAGCCCAGGGATTACTGAATCTTACTCAAATCATTGGACTATATACATGATGTTTGCAAACTTTTCTCCTCTGTCATACTCATTTCAACAAGATGAAAAAAGCTAATAACACCCAAGGAAGCTAGTTTGGTATGTCCAAAAAAAAACAAAAAAATAACCATTTAGAAATAATAATTAAACCCTTATTAATCATCTAAGCCTTTTCCAAAATATCCACATCAATAGCAAGTAACACTAAACATTGATAAAACATTTGTGTATGGAAGCACACAATGACCGGGATTCTTCACACTGCATTTTCTTAAAAAAACGTATTTTAGCTAATTAAAATCCTGTGGGTACACAGAGACACTGATTTTCAAAACATTACAAAGAGCCTGAAACCACAGCCTGCCATTTAGCCAAGAGATGAGAGGTTGCCAGACAATAAAAGGCAGGCAGGCAACAGACCTTGTCTACCTGCATTGCTTTACTAACCAACCAAATGGCTGCCACTGAAAACAAAACATTGAAAGAATCCTTCAATGTTAGATGACCTCTCTCTCCTGCTCTTTCATTCTCTAGAATGTCTAGAAATGTTTTTTCCACAAAAAAACAAATCTGCTCTCAAAAAGGACTTTTTTTAAAAATACATTTTAGGTTTGGCCATTTTCTTTTGCAATGTCAAAATGATCTTGACAGGACTCTTCCAAATTGATCTTCTTCTAAAGAAAACTTAAATTATAAAACTTAAATAGCCATAAACTGTTGTATATGTTGTGTTGGCCTATGATATGGTCACATTATTTTTTAAAAAATAGGACAACCTAAAACAATTCAGAATGATGTGTACCAATTTCACAAAACACTAAGAAGCAGACATTGCAGATTCTCACACAAATGCATTGCAGGAGACTCAGTTGTTCAATTAACAGTGCTATAGGGACAGATGCTTTTTCTTAAAAAAAACTGTTTCATGTTAAACCCCTTTTACTGTTTTAAGTGAGAACTCACTCTGTGTATTACTTCCCTTTTCAAGTTTCTTCTCTTTAGGAAAATAATCCTCTCAAATAAAGATAACAGCAGTATTAAATCAATTTCTGGAAGTAGATATTTTTTCACAAAGGCAGTGATCATTTAACTTCTTTTATGATAAATGGTAATGAGAAATCTGGCAGTCTACTACGCAGATATCAGACACTGCACTTTCACAATTATTTCAACCAGCACAGATCATAAAACACAATATATTCTTGACAAAAATAATTTATCATTATTATTCTGTGAAAACAGGCTGACTGCAGATGTACAATAAAATTACATCGTGTGTGGTACTGTATATAAAACCCCGCAGCAGTCGATTTTCAACTTGTAAAATGCTTGAAATCATTTCGTCTCCGCATGCCAAACCGTGTTAGATTTTTGCGGTGCCTGTAGAAGCGCTAAATCCATAAATCAAAAAGGATAGTCCTTAGGAGACCGGAATAAAATGACGTAATTAGTCCCTCTCTACCTCACTCGATTCTTTAAGATCTCTAAATACCGAACATGGTTAACCATGAAATATCTAAAAATTTAAATATTTTCAATGCATCTTTTTTAAAGATGATTTTTAAATTAGTTGCTGCAAATTCGTAATCAGCTTTATTATGCTGTTGTCGTACAGTATACTAGATTTTAACTAAACGTAATTAATCGTATAACTAGTATTGGAAGAATCAAAATGTTATAAAAGTTACGTTCGCTTCCAGTATAAGAAAAAAAGAGTCGTGAATATACAGTACAGCATTTCTTTTAAAGTGTTAAAAACTACTTCCCTGCATTAATTCAAGCGAAAACTAAAATATACCACCTGAGGTTTTCCTATGATAACAGCAGACAAAAAACGTTACAAACAGTAAAAAGGGTCTATTGACGTGATCTGAAAAGCTAGAAGATGTGTTACAATAACAAATACAAGAGTTAGTGTAGTGCCATCGGGCTCAGATTCGCAGTGCTATTGTGCTCTCTGGGAAGGTCGGATTCAGATGACAATCAGCTTTCCACATCATCTAGTTTAACATATGTGTTAAGTGGTATTTGTACATATCACCACGATCTAAACAGATTGGAGCACAAGCTCCTCGTAATTAAAATCAATTTTACTTCCTTAATGAGAACGCTTTAAACAAATAATTGTGTAACCCAAAGTTTAGAGAACTACAAATTAACAAAAGGTTTAACTGTAATGATTACTAAGTATATACATATGAACGCAACAGAAAAATGTGGTGACAGGAGTTACAATACATAAATTTCCAAAAATTTACAAAAAAAAACACTTCGACTACACAAATTCAATTGTCATGGGGCTATATATTTCACATACATGTAACTTACGAAAGGTGCCATAGTCAGAGAAATTACGAAATAACATTTTAAAAGTAACTATCAAGACGGTCGTTGAAATTAGTTGATAGGATCAAAGGCAAAGGCGAATTTTGGTTTGTAATTACAAACCTGAAAAAAAACTTCAAACACAGCTCTTCAGCAACTGCCATACACAGAAAAATGCTGTATTTTTATTAACACGCTCCTTCTCGGGCATCATCGCGTATTAAGTTTTAAAAAGACGCACAGAAAGCAAAAACGAATCACAAGTGAGCGACCTGCACAATGCAGCTCAACCTTACAACTGTTCTCAATAAATAGAGAATGTTTCCTTGCAATCTGAGTCGCGTGTAATTACAATATGACAGGATCTCTCTAAGGCACTGACTTTGGCATTTTTCCCAGGACTTGTCACGTCAAGGAAAACTCAAAAACACCAGCAGCTACATAAAAAAAAAATCCTAAACCAACAAATATTTAGCGGATGCCTTCCAACCTTGCCAAACGAATACTCAGCCGGTATGACGTCCAATTTACAACCGCCCCCCTCCCAACTCCGTCCTTCACATACAGTATACATGTATACAGTAGTGTACGTTTCAGTACACAGTTCTTAACAACAATGTCACGCCACACCTAGCAACATCCGTTCCAGTACCAGATTAGGGTCTCCCAAGGCTCCGCACAAAGCTATTATATATGGCATAACATTTGTCTGACTGCATCACAGCTTGCACCCTTAAATCAGTAGGCTGTATTTCTTTTGTTGCATTTCTGACTGAAAACTGGTCAGTTGCAGGCTATCGTAGTCAACTCTAATCTTGGGATTATCGTACGTAAACACAGTAAAGTAATTCCAGTTTCACAGCAGAAAGTTCTAGTTTTAAAAGACTAGAATTAAAAAAACACCAGTTTTACCCCCAGTTAAACCTTTCGCAACAAACTATCGCAGTTCCCGACAAATTGTTTCATATTTAAGCAGGATGGATGTTACAACCAGAAAGCAAAAAATTACTAAAAATAGATTTTAAACTGAAACGAAAAGTACATAAGAAAAAAAACTTTTTTCCTAACAGGTGTCTGATTCTTTTCTTTATAGGAGGTGCTACTAAGCTTGTTACGCCGGGAAATACTTGCATTGCATTTAGTAGTAGCATTTTATAGTAAAAAAAACGTTCCATACAAACACTTAGTTATATCAAATAGTATAACCAAAGTTTTTATCTATACTTCATGCTAACGATACTTTGCTCCAAATTACCTTAGAAGTCGGTAAAACGGATCACTTCAAACAATACCTTGCGCGTGAATTTTCTATCACCTTTCCGAAGCCATTCTGCATGTTACAACACAGCTTCCAGGATAAAACTAACAAAGCGAGGGCTTAAATGCGTAATTATCTCTTAAATCGACTAGATAATTTGTACACAAATCAAGGCGAAAGCAGTTCAAACACAAGTAAGAAAACAAAAGACATCGATTTGATTTGATCATTGAGCTAAACAGATAATCCAGTGGACCAAGCTGAAGTCAATTTCATTGTAGATGCAGGTAAATGCACATCAACACCACAAACAAAGCCAACCAAACAATACCATATTTCAGCTAATCGATATTCTTAACCATATAGAACCAGGGACGTTCTTGTTCAGTTATCGTAGTAGAAGGCGAAAAGGAACAGTATTGCTGTTTAATAGTTTACTCCCAATAAACAATATTGCCCCGATCTGCCATTACTACTGCTACTTAACACTCTACAACCACAAAACACACGTAGTACACATTTATACCTGTACCTCAATATTTATATTATCTCGACCTCACACCTGCGAAGCGGCGTCCTTACCTCTTTTTGGTCTTGGGAAGCTTTCATGTAGGTGAAAAACTACTTTTTCCACAAAGTGCTGAATGTTGCTGTGCTCGGGTCCTCTGACGAACACCATCCAATCATGCGTAAAACCCTCCACGGTAGGTTTCTTTCTGACCTGGGCACGGTGTCCAAGCTCTAGCTTCACCTGAACTGCGCCCTACAACATTCGAATACAACGACAGAAGTCAACTTCAACATCGCTACAATCGCCACGGCCTGACAAGGACAATTTAGAAAGAGAACGATACGAATCGTAAGATAACATGAATACGCATACTTATAAATAGGTACAGTCTACTGCACAACTACACATGAAATAATGAAAACGCGCAGAAGGGAACGCCACAAAAAGATAAACTATTGCAATGCAGTGATTCCCGAGCAAATACATATTAAAATTAGCAGTAGTCCCAATAATAATAATGCACATCATATCACACATCATATGTAATATAATATGAAAAGGAACTGTTTCACCAAAACCTGTTAAGACAATTTACTAAATCAGCATCAGCATTCAGATTCTTATATCGTTCTTATAACTAACCCACCTATCATAATGCATGACATTTTCTGAAGCAAATATCCTAGTACTTGCAGCAACACTTACGTTATTTTTAAAACTTTGATTAAAAAAAATACCAGCCTACCACTACTTTTTTCGCAGACATGCTCTAATGCGTGAGAAATGCAGCATTCTAGACGCGCCTCTCAGCTTAACTAGTTGTACTGTACTTGTATAGAAATATGGCTGGAAATCTGCAGCACAAATAGGCTGAACAGTATCACCTTCTTAAAGCAAAACCGATATCGTACAATTTCACCAAGCATACGAGCGCTAACCACCGGATACTCACCGAGCTGGCCATGCTTGAGGCCGCGCGTTAGTGCTATTTCATGGAGAATTTGGTTTAAATGAAAAGACAGAAGAGAGCAGAAGGTTGATGGCGGACATGGTCTCTTAATTGAACTCAGCCCGAGTTTCAAAGGCTGAGGAGTGAAGCAAGACGCATGCGCTGTTTCTGTGCACTGACAAGAGAGTCGCAGACATAACACAAAAAGGCGAACCAATGAAACGTGGTAAATGAACAGACAGCCAATGTCATGCAGCACCTAACTTACCCACCTAAAAAGCCCAGACACTAGAAAGATTTCACTAGCTTGAAAAGCAAAAGAACGACCTATAATTGTGCTATTACACTACCAACCAATTACAATAACAAGTAACTAAATTTAATTCGGTTATCGATCATGTGTTGTATCCGGTTTTATCACAAAAAAACTGCAACTTGTCGAATATGTAACAGATAATCTGAAAATAAATACATTATTGTGGACTTTTTGACACCTTGACAGTCAATGAAGCGGTTTTTAAGAAAAGCGTATAGTAACTGCATTTGAAATCAAATAGCTAAAAGGAGGCAAATTTAAAATTAATGGAGCAACTAAGCGTTTTGGCAGGGTGACTGTACACAAGAGTACAGAAGTGTTTGTAACTTTACACTATAATGAATAAAGCTTATGAAAACTCCACAGCCTTATAAGTTTTTAAAAATAATAATAACATGTAATGGCTTTTATTTATATCGAACATGTTTACATTAATATTATGTTGTGGATAATTTGAATCTAATGCATGTATGAAAATATAGTGTTTGTGATTTTTTAAAAGAATAATTTAACCTTTGACTTCTGTGCATTAACTACAATCGCAGCTGAATTAATCTCCCCAGAATTTGGAAGGGATAGCATCACCCTTGCAGTGACGCTGCATTTTCTTGTCTTAATTCAGCCCCGAGGTTTGGACTTAATGTATCCGCGCTAAGGTGCGCCACTGGAATTATATGTATTTCATAGTAAGCATTTGAAAGGTGAAACAAGAGTTTTGCGGAATCGTAACAAATGAACAGAGTATATTCACATTAAATTATGTTTTACTTTTATTGGTCACCATAGTAAAGAACGTGGCACGTGTACTGTATCTTAAAAATGGTCGAGTTACTCTTAAATCGTTTCGGAATTACATAGATTAAAATTGTATGCCTATGAAAAGGGAAAAGGTTTACGGTGGTCTCGGCTTGAATACGATCTAATTAATACACATCAGTAATAAATTGACTCGATAACGTTTTAGATCCATCAAATATTATTATAGAGAAGTTAAATAATGTGTCCATGGAGTGCGTTGTTTGATAACACAGGTGAGAACAAACTGCAAATATATTCAGGTCAGTACTTCACAGCGACCGACTTGGTATTCACCAACTTTGAAAAATGTGTAATAATACATATCAAATAGCAAGAGGAACCAGTAATAATATTATAAGGAACGCTATAGACTGGTATACAGTACTATATGTACTGTACAGTATAAAGAGATTAAAGAGAAAAGTTGATGTGATCTTATATAATGAGCAAAACATTGTTCATCATCATCAAATATCTAAAAAGCAGATTTTCACCGGATCGGTCTCTGAGTAACGAAAACGTAGGATAGGCAACCAATACGTTAATAACACAAAAAGAAAACATAAAACCAGCCCCGCATGTCTGGCAGAACATTTAACGGAAAAGGTGAGTCTAAAATACGGTTTAAGTTTTACTAATGTAAAACAAATCAATCGCAATAAAAGTATCCATTATTCACAGCTGCTTGTACTTTTAATGGTTCGCGGTGACTCGGGCAGACCCAGGGCGCAAAGTAGGATTACACTCTGGAATAGTCAACAGTTTAACACTCTTGGACTGCATCTCTCTTACTTTACACAAAGAGCGAGATGGAGGAAAGCTTCGTAAAATATTCAAACAGTTGTGCGTGATGAATTTTGATAGACCAGATAAGACAAAGATACTGTATTGTTCATTAGTGCTGAAGGTTGTTTGCGTGTACATTTAATTTTTGCTGAAGAAGAAAGCAGTGAGTCACTGTGCCCACGAGGGGGAGAAATACTATGTTATTGCTTACGCACGCTGACGAAGCCAACTCTCCCGGCCAACACTGCGAATATAAACGGCCACATTCAAAGTCTCACAGACAGCCAAGTTGCAACAAATTTGAGAAACAACAAAATACAAATAGAAACAAACAACAATCACTAATACCATAACACAGAAGTAAACCTGTTCAGTCCATTTCTACCCCAGAGGCACCTGCAGCATTATTAGTCTGGTCTTCATTGGTCCTGTCACAGAAATAAGTAACTCAGAGGCCTTTGGGGGCATCACAATGCCTCCACGTAGCGCTGAGAATCCCCGTTGGCTTCAAATAATACTACTAACTAGCACACAAAATACAGAGTCCATGAGGCATGCAGCTCTTAAGATGCACATGTGGACCTAGGAGCCCTTCCGCACTCCACAAACATCACAAGTCCAGCTGTACTCTACCCTAGTAAAGGTGAAGCTTACGTTGCCACAGGGTTTGGGTTTCCAAAGTGTTCAGTTCCTGACGAGCTCGTGCTCTCTCCTGTTCCTAGTTTCCCTTGCTTTCCTTGTACGTCCGGTTTCTTGTCTGGGGCTTTATATTTCCAGGTCTCTCCTTCCTCCTCGCTCGGCGTTGGGATTGGTAGTTGAGAGGCTCACCTCACCAGGTCGCCCCACATCCTCTATCTGAGGGCTTATGTCTCACCCCAACTCCACCCGATACCTTGAGCCTGGACAAACCCTCTTGCTCGCTCTGTTCCTACTGCTACACATAGGGTCCTACTACCTCGCCGGTCTCTCCATGGCTAGCCCCTGGCTTCTGTGACAATCAAAGACCACAGATTATATTCAGAACAAGATGTCAGAGAGTTTTTGGCACCACTAACTGCCACTTTGACTCACTTTCCATCAATTTCTTCCACCTATCGTACAGAAGCCTTTTTTACAACATCAAGGAACTACTCAGCTAGTGCTGTAGTGTAATGGCTGCACAGCACCTTGACTCTACAGGAATAGGGTGTCAGCTCCACAAGCACTAGCCTGTGTTCCTTCATCCTCCAGCACACAACTGGACCCACCTTTAGACTAGTCTCCGGCAGCTCCTGTACCTTGCAGACTGTCACAAGTGGGAACCAGCTGGCTTTTTAATGCTCCTCTGGACGTGGAGAGTACTGACAGTGCTACTAACCTTCCAGGTTCACAATGAAGTGCTAGTGTGGGAAAGAGACAGGCAAAATTGCTATAGTAACTCCACACCTGCCAGGTGCTCTTGCTGCATCATGCAGTAGCCCTATTCAATAACCAGGCAAAAATATGCCACCACCTGCACCCCATCTGGACTTGTATAAGAAAGAACTCCCCTTGTTTCCTTGTCACTCACATGGCTGTGAAAGAAAAGAACAAGATCCAGTTATACTCACACAGCAGTTTCTATTAACACTACTTGTAGCAACTCAGTGACAGCAAAAAATGTCCACATACTCAAGAAACAAAGTTATCTATGTTCAGTCTGACTCAGTCCCTATCTAGGTCAGGTTGTGATCCTATGTAGTCATCATATCTAAAAGAATGTGGTCTACATCTATTTGTGAACCATGTAGTAACTCGGCACCTGGGGCTTGTTGTGACTCTTTGCCACCCATGGTGGTTCTCATAGTGCTGCCCCCTGTTCAGTTATGCCAGGGCACTTTGCAGCAGATCCAGGCATAGGATACAGGGGACCACAATGTCTGCTATCTAGAAGCAGTGATGCAGATGTAGCAGTCAAGGTAGAGAAGAGTCATATATTGGCTGAGCAGGGAAGCTGTTTGATCCATTAATGTACAAAACTTCTTTTAGACCAGGCCCAAGTTCATCCTCCCAACCCCATGTCTCAGCACAGAAATGGTGGAGATGGTGTTAAACTATGACACCAGTGAACTACACGTGGCGTGTTCCAGCAGAAGGAGAAATCTACTGGAAACATCGCCCACCCAGCCAGAAAGCCACGTGTTGTAGAAGCAAGTGGAAAAGAACAGGGTAGCATTTCTCCTTCTATTCCCCATGTTGGAATTTTTCAGCCGGCTCCTGTCATGCAGTTTGGATTTGGCTATTCTAGCTTCAGTGCCAAGACCATCTAGTTTGGCAGGGTTTTATTATCAGGGTTACCATCCTGCTCTCATCCTTGGCTGTCTCTGTGGAAGCATGGTGACTGGGATGGCAGATGAGACAAGAAATCTCATCTTCAGCATGTTCTGTTATTGAGAGCAATTTGTTGAGAGTGGCACACTTCCCCAGTATTACATGCTGACTAAATGAATCAGGAGCTTGGTCGCTAAGGGTGGTGGCCAGTTGGTTCACTAAAGGGCATTCTGTCTCCAGGAAGGTCTTATTCACTATGCAGCAAATGTAATCAAAATGTACCTAAAAGTCACCCAGTCTAGCAGCAGGTGCTGTGTTTGAGTCATATGAATGCTGAGACATCAAGTTGTGGATGTCAGGTTCTTTAACAAGCAGGCTGTCTCCTTGGCGTCCAATGTCTTAGTCTTAATGAAGCTGTAAAACATAACCTTCTACACATCCCATACTCATCAAAGCATCTCAGTTTATTTCCCTTGGCTAGACAAGGTGGGGACACGTTCCTGCTGTGTACTTGAAGCCATCTTCAAGGTCAGAAAATCAGGCTCCCTTCAGAAGGTTTCAGTCTTGCTGAAACAGGCATGGTGTTGTCCAAATCTAAAGTACATTTCTAAAGAGAGCTTTCTCTATCACTCCCTCATTGATCTTGCAGAAATGTTGGGGCCCTATGAGCAGGGCTTATTTAGAGATGGTGTAGCAGTTCCTAGATACTCCCATAGTTTTTTCAATATGGATTATTTCATGGAACTATGTCCATTAACAGTTTCAGACAATTTAGACAAGATGGAGTTCTTTTTTCTTGTGTCCTTCATTCGAAAATGGAGGAGTGCAAAGTTAGTGTCACATTATATAGTGAGTTATTCTTAATTCTTTTTCAGAACCCAAAAGTTCCATTTTACAGGACTAAATGCAATATTACATCTGGTCATTTTTCAAAAGCTGTGTTTTCTACTCGGAAAGTTTATTTTGGTGATCTGTAGTTCTGAGTTGGTATGAAGG